TCTGGGAGTTGAAGTCCACAAGTCTTAAAGTTGCCAAGGTTGGAGACCCCTGATTAGAGGCTTAAGCTATTACATGCAAATAATTGTCCTCTGTGTTTTCTATCAGATCTTGCTTAATTTAAGGGAAGAGAACTTGCCTCCAATATTTTTTTAAAGAAGAAGATAATTTTGCACAGTCTCTCATGGCCGGCATGCTGCTTTCTTGCAGTTTATTTAGTTACAAGGTGGACTAACAGTGTATGAATAAATGTCTATGAAAATTCTCAGTCATCCAGGTCATGGTTGTCCCAAAGGTGCTTTTTCAAAAGGCAACTGGACCTTGTTTTTCTTTGAAGACCTTTCGCTTCTCATCCAAGACGCTTCTTCCGTTCTGACTGATGGGTGGATAAATCCTTGCATCCTCCATCATTCAGTCAGAACGGAAGAAGCTTCTTGGATGAGAAGCGAAAGGTCTTCAAGGAAAAACAAAGCCCAGTTGCCTTTTGAAAAAGCACCTGGACCGTACAGCCATCTCTCTACCAATCAGCAGCCTTCCTGGCTTCCTAGATTTCAATTAGATAATAGGGAAGCCATCGAAAGGGGATTCTTCGGGAGATATAAATTGCCAAGGAGGTTTTAAAAGGGGTGCAGTCACAGCAGCAGGAGCCACCTGTAGTAGCTCAGTCAAAAAAGTGAGCTCAGAAACATCAAGAGATATTCAAAAGTTGTTCTCAAGCTCCCTGAGGATGGGAGGGGGAAAAAAATCCAGAAGCTGCTTTCATAGGGGAAGAAAAAAAAATTAAAAAAAATTGCATCCATGTTTGGTGGCCCTTTGTTCCTATCAGTTGAAGTTTATTTCTGTAATCTCTGAAGTGATCTTTCTGAAATGTTAAACTGCGATGTGATTATGGTAATAATCCTTCCATCCTATGAGGAACTTGTGGGCTCTTTTGCTTGCACAGACGCAGCCACTTTGAGTGATGCACCCACATTAGAAGTGCAGGAAGAAATCTTTCTATAAATAAAAATACCAATCAATAAAAGTGCCAGTAAGAGCAGCAGAAATCTGGGAGATTTACTCCTACAAACTTGTACTTAGGAGTAAATCCTATCAACTTCAGTAGGGCTATCTTAATCCATCCTTGAACCTAGCTTCCGTGTACTCACCCCTAACTCTCATCTTATTTAGCTGTTTATGTTTCAGGATCTAGCCACAAGAGATGCTAGATATTCAGTATCCCATATGGGATGACAGGGTTCTTGTTTAAGACTACATTCGCACAATGCTGTTAGGCACAAGCTTTTGTATAGAAGTCGTGCACACCCAACTCATAGTTAATGTCTGGTTCACTGTGCAAAGCCTGAAAATGGGGTTAGCTGAATGAATGGCAATTTGTTTATTGATATGAGAGACCATGCGTAGCTCGGGGTTGAACTGTGCTTGGTGCTTTCTGAGCTTGGTTGCAAAACCTCAGAGCTTATTTATTTAATTTTTAAAATTGCCCGTCTCCTTCACAAACATTTAGCTGTGGGATATGAGTCATGCCAACACAACCAGAGGTGGTATTCAGCAAGTTCTGACCAGTTCTGGAGAACCAGTAGCGGAAATTTTAAGTAGTTTGGAGAACTGGCAAATACCACCTCTGACTGGCCCCGCCCCCACCTATTCTCTGCCTCCCAAGTCCCAGCTGATCGGCTGGGTCTTCTTTTGTTTCCCTGCACACAGGAGAACGGAGCTGGAAAGCAGGTTAGCAGGGTGGGAAGGGAATGGGGATTTTGCAGTAACCTTTCCCCAGGAGTGGGGAGGGAATGGAGATTTTACAGTAACCTTCCCCTGCCGTGCACACCAAGCCACACCACACCACGCCCACCAAGCCCAGAGAACCAGTAGTAAAAAAAATTTGAATCCCACCACTGAATACAACCATTGTATAGCAATAGCACAGATTTATATATTGCTACATAGTGCTTTATAGCACTCTAGGGGAGGTTTACAATGTCAGAGTATTGCCCCCAACCATCTGGGTCCTTATTTTACCAACTTTGGAAGGATAGAAGGCTGAGTGAACTTTGAGCTGGTCAGGATTGAACTCCTGGCTGTGGGCAGAGTCAGCTTGTAATATTGCATTCTAATCACTGCGCCACCACGGCTCTGTATAAGATCTTGGGGATTAAGATTGCATGAGAAACAAATAGAGTGGGTTTCAATGAGATTGTGCAATGCACTGTCCCTGAAAAATGCTGAGCATGAGTGTAATCCAATCACCCTGGGACCACAGATGAACACACCTCTGCAGAAAGTATTCAGTAACTATTATGCATCATTGTCACACTCACTTTGGGCCTATACACTTACCTTCCTTTTCCCTAAATGAACCTGCCTTATATTGCAGCATAAATAGAGCCAGGCCCAGAGGATTGTACAATAGTTTAAGTTAGCTTGTTATGGCTCTTTTGCCCAACCTTCCACATAATTCCCCATGTCCATATAATTGTGTTTTCCATTTAATGAGTAGAAAAACCAGGGGGTGGGATTCAGCCGGTTCCGACTGGTTCACATGAACAGGATGTTAAATTTACATCTGGTTCGCCAAACCGGTGGTGGAACTGACTGGCTCACCCCGCCCCACCCCTCCCAGGAGTCTCCACATGGCTTGCTTTGGATGTAGGTAAGTGCAGGGTCCGTGTGCAGAGGCTCTGGGAGGGCACAAAATGGGCCCGTTTCTGGCTTCCGGAGGGCCTCTGGACCCTGGGGGAGGCTGTTTTCACCCTCCCCGGGGCCCAAGGGAAGCCTTTGGACCCCGAGGAAGGCAAAAAACAGCCCCCCCCCCAGAAGTTCCGGAAGTCCAGAAATGGGCCTCTGGAGCTGGGGGAGGCCATTTTCACCTTCCCTCCCAGAGGCCTGAGGGAAGCCTCCAGACCCTGGGGAAGGTGAAAAACGGCCCTCCTGGAAGTTCCTGTAGGCCATGCCCACCATGGCCATGCCCACCCAGCAACCGGGCAGTGAACCGGTTGCTGGGATTTTTGAATTCCACCCCTGGGGAAAAAAACCCACCCAGCTCTGGAGACAGGGGTTTTTCACACTAAGCTCCATCTACTGCATGATCTGAACCTACCTTTCTAGCATGCTTCTGCCCTTTGTTTGGTTCGCTCTGTGTTCTGGTCAGGAAAGGCTGCTCAGCAGGGGGCTGATGACTTGGCAACTTTGGCTGTGGATCGCTGGTTGGAGTAGAAGATGAACCTTGGTTCCTTCCCTCTCTAGGGTTCTATAATGCAGGAAGTAATGGGATGCATGGATAGGAAGAAAGTAAGAAACAACATATGGGTTTTCTGTCTGCCACTTGGGCAGAGGTTAACTTAAAATGCTAGCAAAATACAGCAACTCCTTTCTTCAATGGATCAGATGTCATCACTCAAGATGTCTGTTGTACAATCCAGCTTTTATCACCCCAGTCTATCAGATTAGGGAACTCAAGGTGGACAGCTCTCAGTTGGGCAGAGGGTGGGAGGGGTATTTCTCATATGACAACTAAAAATATCAATCCTGAATGAACAAATAAGACAGTTTAGAGCAGGGGTCTCCAACCTTGGCAACTTTAAGCCTGGAGGACTTCAACTCCCAGAATTCAGAGTCATCATGCAGGTGATTCCCATACAAAGTTCACCAAAACCTGTAATGGATTTCTAAGTTCCATGTTTGTTTTTTTTCCAGATAGGCTGGGAAGTGAGATTTGGGTCTGGAATTCCAAAGTTCCAGGATTTCAAAGGGTTCAGAGATGAAGGGCCTTGTTGCTTCTCCAAGATAACAAACCGAGCCCAACAGAGTCCATCCGAACATAGGAGATTATACTTGACGGAGTGCTATTTCACCCTATGTCAGCAATATCCATAAATATTCATTTCTCCGTTGTTTTTTACCTGGCATTTTATGAGAATTCCTTTCCATGTGTGCACTGCCCATCTAAGCCCATTTCTAATCTGCCATGATTCCTATCTGTGGAATCCTAGCAACGTGTGAAGTCGCTGGGGTTTATTCACAAAGAAACTCTAGCTTCCCTTTTGAGCATGCCATAAATCTGAAGCTGCTTCCATGAAACAGTCCAACTAGTTATACAAGCCTAAAACTAAACTGCTTAGGTTTGCCTTAAGATTACACCACAGCCTGGTCTTCTCCAACAAATGTGTTGATGGGCTAGATAGAAGAATTCAACTCCCATAACTTGTCAATCAGCATGCAAGACCCGAAATCGGAAAAGGCTGTTGGGAGACTGTCTTTATGGTACAGATATCTTTAACACGTAACAGGACATGCTCCATTTCTTGAACTGCAAAAAAAGTCTCTCAAGAAAAACACCTTCTAAACTTTTGGATAATGCTTGGTTTAACGTGCCAAGTTGGTTTCGTACATGAACAAGGGATGGGGTTTAGTGCACAGGGATATAATATACTCTATTAGTTCAGAGACCTGGGCTTGAACCATGGTTTACAGGCCTTCGATCTAAAAAAGTCCTTTCATATTATTTTCTCAGCTGACTTCCCCCAGTCCCTTATATTTCAGATAATGGCAGGGAGATTCTTAGTTCGCAAAGAGGCCTCTTGGCACTTCAAGATGACTCCATTCCCTAAAACAGTTTTTCCTAATGAGATGCCCTCCTTTGGTCTAATTACAATGTCTGTAGTTAGACCAAAGATGCATCTTACCTGTTTAGTGCACCTGAGGAGCGTGCATGAATGGGTGAGAAACCCAGCTATTGAGACAGGGGGCTTATGCAAAATGGGCAGCTATATCATTTGCACGGGAGGTCTGAGATTTTCCAAAGGTTTTTCTTTCAGTTTGGAGGGGAAGATCTTTGGTTAGTTGGTTGCTTTTTTTAATTAAGCCAAGCTATTTTAGCTTTAAGACTATTGCTTCCATGCTACTACATTGCTGACTTCTGGCAATCCTGTTAATTTTTTTTAAAGACTTTAAAGAAAACAGGTTTGGGAACTGCAGGAGCCTTCAGAGTTCACAGACTTCACAGCCCTGCCCTATAACCCATACCAAACCTGCTGCCCATTGCCAGGAGAAAAAAAAGAGAGCAAGAACTGTAGTGGTGCCCCATTCAGACAAAATAAACTTCCTTGAATCTTCTGATGCAGCCCATTTATTTAAAATGATGAAGCATTTATTGAGGAGCTGGGAGAGTTTTGCACACCCCTCACAGAGTGAAACCTGAGGAAGGGTCACACGGATTCCCCTAGGGAGAAGCAAAATGGAATCACTAAGTCTATGAATACTTGGCTTGTTTTTCCAGTGGTCCATTTTCAGAAACACATAGTGCAGAAAAAAGAGGTCTTCTTTAGAATCCTGCCAGAATGAGCATCCACAGAATAACTCCTCGGAATAAGACAATTCACTGTATAGAACAGATGCTTAAATATATGTGCGGTCTATCCCTGGGACCTCTTAGCAATTCATCTTGCAACAACAATGGGTAAGAGCAAAGCAGGACATCTTTAAATCTACCAGAATACACTTGTGACGATGAAGGAGTCCACAAAGGAATGGACGAGGAATGCATCCACAAAGAAAGATGCCATAGTTGGTTAAATAATAAGGTTCTCTGTTTAAGAATCTTTAGAGATTAAGGCTTAAAACTAAGTTAGGCTGCTTAGTAAGATTGGAAGTTCACATTTAACGCACAATGTCACAGTGAATGAACATGCATATGGACACATTCTAAGCAGGCTGTGGGGCTTCAGATAAATGTAGTTTTGGCAAGAAGTTTTCAGAAATTCTAAAATCTTTTAGATTGATGATTGAT